ACGGCAACGACATTGAGATTCCTGCATAGACTTAGGGGTAGTGGTAGCTGGGTAGCGAAAAGTGGGAAAAAAAGAAGAAGGATATAGCGTTGACGCCGTTGAGCTGACCCTGCCCCAGGCGAGGGATTCAAACTGAGGGATCGATGGGGGGCGGGAGCGGTTTGAGTAGGTAAAATTCCAAGAGGTAGGTCATCTTGATCTTGAAATTTCTAACTTTTGTGGGTCTCTATTCCATTCTTTGAGGGTTATGTTTGGCTCTCAATGTTAAAAAATTGTTAATTCTATGGGGGTCCTGCTCGGGGCAGGCGAGTGGAGGTTCTGTTGGTTTTTGGGGGATCTGTCCAAGGCAGAGGGCAAAGGGCACGAGATGACTCTTTGTGAGGACGGAGAGAGGGTTGAATCAGGGTTGTCTGAGGGTTACCGGCTGGGGGATCTCTCATTGGATGCGATTGGCGTCGGGCAGCTTTGGTTGCCGGATGGGTACCGGCTGATGAGGGTTGAACTTCATTCTGGTTCGATTGGCCTCAGGCAACACTGGCTCACCCTTTCGAGGACAGAGACTGGAATTTCTGATGGGGCAGGAGATTGCAGGTTGAGGATGGTGTCTGGCTCTTGCTGAGGATATGGTCTTCCCGAACTCTTTACTAGGACGGAGTTGGGGAGGGTGAAGGGGGTTCTGATGGGGTGGTTGGGAACGGATGCGATTGGCATTGAGCGGAGTCTCGATGGGTACCGTCCGTGGTCAGCCAACTTCATCTGAACATACTCGAGACCTCCTTGTCGATGACGAAGACAGAACCATTGCACTTGCTGGTCTTTGGGGTCATAGTTCATCATTCGGTTATCTTGATGTGTGAACGGGAGAAGCAGACGGTGGGATATCACACGTTCTACTAGTGAGGGGCCTAGCTGGTAGGATGGGAATAGGGTACAGCAGCAGTGGAGATGGTGGCTCTGCTGTGGTAAGTCTTGCCGGAGTGGGGAACAGGGGATTGATGGGGGAGGTTGCTGAGTAGCTAGAACTTAAGAGGTAGGTCATCTTAGTAAAAAACGGTTTAAGCACCAGTACCTTTCCCGCGTGGGAAAATAGGGAAAACTGGCAGTTTTCCCAAGCGCCTGAATTTCCGGAGGTCAGGCCTGACGACGACTACCGTTGATAAATCTGATCGGCGGCCGTCGTTTCGTTTCGGCCGATGCAAAGGTCGGATGCCTACCTGAGTCCCGCTATTTTCCAAGCGGCAAAGGTACTCTCTAAAATGTTTTTCTCATACTGTGCTCGGTATTTCTTAGCCAAAGCCGGGTAATGGCCCCGGTATTCTAAATGTTTGTACAATTCATATGGGACGCTGGGCCCGGTTCCCAACACGTGTGGCTCCCCACGAATAGATTGGAGCTTTTGTCCCCCCCCCAAAAAAACTGAGGTCTGTATTTATTTGCTTCTAAATTCTAATCTTTTATGTTTGTCTTTATACAATGCATGGGCTCGGTGTACCAACTAAGCTGGGCCGGTCCGATTCCTGCCCATACATTACTGTCCACGTCTCAAGCAGGCGCTGGCAGGCCTGAAGTCTCTGGAGATCCCAAACAGCTCGGTCGTGGTCTAGGGTGCATTAGCGGCTGTACTTTTGATTTCCTGCTGATGGAAACATTGCTACCGTGCTGTCTAGGGCTCATTGGCAGCTCTACTTTTGATTTCCTGCTCCGAGTGGGCATAAAATAAAAGTGGAAAACAACTATGATTGTAAACGGTCCAAGCCCACCTTCCGGAGAAATCATCCATGAGGTGAGCATCAGCAGCACCTGTAGCTGGGGGTAAAACACACACCCTTGGAGGGAGCACCCACCTTGCCCTGTTGTGCAGTGTTTTCACATCTGGCTTGTCAGGAAGGCAACGTGAGTGAGTGAGGGTGTGATTATGCACCGAGTGGGGAGGGGAGAGTAGTGCAGGGAGTCTGGAGCTGGCCACACCACTTGCAAGCCAGGATTTTTTTTTTTAATCTGATTTTTAGAATTTTTCTCTGAATCAGGAAAGAATTTGTATTCTTTTTTTTTTTTTTTTTTTTTTTTTTGCCTAGAGGGCCGCTCAAGTCTTTTCTATGTATGTCAGGGCTCTCTCTACACTGTATAGAGCTCCTGGCATTTTCTGTGTGTTCCAGCCAAAGTGGGTGAATAGTCCACGCAGGTCAGGTCAGGAGTTCGAATCTTCCTCGAATCACATGAACACAGAGATGAACACAATAAAGTTATGGGCTACTCCCCTTCTTGGTGGACTGTGATAAACAGACCCTGCTTCCTACCACTGTTCGTGGAGAGTGCAAAGTGGGGATCTAACTGCATCGTTGTACAGCCATTGATTTGTGAGCTCACCCCAATAGAAGGACATAACTTCTCAGGTAGTTCAGTGAGGGGAGAGGAGGGAGGATTCTTCAGGAGAGTGCAGGTGGGCTAAAACGTCCCTTTGGCTTTCGAGATAGCTCATGAAACGCGTCTTCTGACGACTTGCACACTCTTCGTTCTGTTTGCAATTCTTGAGTTAGGACATTATACTCACACCCGGACTTTCTTGACTCATCCCGAGATGTAATTCCAGTCACATGCATGCAGAGAAGCCTCAATTTGGGCCATATGCTGCTCATGTATCCAGAAAAAGTCCTAATGTGAGTGTGCTTTAAGTGTGGCGAAGGGTTTACTGTCAAAAAGCTTTTGTTTCAATTCGAAGTAGCATGGCCCGACCAATACTTTACAATAAGACTTCCTGGAATGTATTTGAGTGGAATTAAGGCCACCCTCTGTCCGGAAGGTAGAAGTGTGCACTCTGCCTCGAGAGGCCCTTGTTCCATTACTCGCCATGCCCCATGGGTAGGGAAGGGTTCATGGCTCCACCACCTCTCCTTTCATGAGAATATTAGGGGAAACGGCCTCCAAGTTGACGGATGATCGCGAAAATCGAAATGTTCTCCCTTCTGTCACGGTGGTGTGTGGAGTACGGCCCTTGTGACCCCTTTGCAAAACGGCTTCGGGTCTGTGGCGACTGGGTCTGACACAGTCAGGGTTTCTCAGGGTGGCCCTTGGAGACGGTTTGTGGCGGTGGCCAGTTAGCGGAACTGGCTGCTTGCCACAGCCTACTAGTTAAAACAGCCTTTTTGTGGTTCACCGTAGTTTGCCACGGGGTGAGCGAATGGCTAGTAGTGTAAGGAGGCGCTAAGTGGGACGCCCCCTTCAAGATTGGCTATCTGCAGTTGTTGCTTCACTCAGCATTGTACCCATAACCTGAAACCATCAGTCTTTGGCCCATATATCGGCCGAGGGCCCTTCACCGCGACTTCCGGAGGCCGTTAACGCGAAAATGGCCAATGATGAAATTTATCAACGGTGCTGAGGCCCCGAAAGTTGCGACGCGTGCACGAAAAGGGCCAGTGGCCGACGTATGTTGCTTTTCACCGGCAAGCATGACAAATAGTAACATGAGCCCCACCTGCCAGGGGTGAGGCTTTCAGAACTGGATCGGAATGAGGATTTGGATGCCATTTGAATGCACATAAGGGTGGTGGGCGACCCAGACAATGTGTTACCATGTGTACGAGCCCACCCCACCAATAGCCAGACTGGCTTCTGACCCGGACTAGTGGGAATGGCCTGGCCAAAAAACTATGCACTTGTGGGACCGCACCGTTAAGGGAGGGTAGATGGCATTACGCCCGGACTTACCCATTGACCACACAATAACACAGCTGAGGTGGGCGTGAGACTCGCCGCTAAATGCAATGTTACCGCGCGTTCATTGAACGCCCATTCCGCATTCAGTTTTTGAACGCTGTGAACGCGCGTTCACTGAACGCCCCTGAACGCA